CATGGCGGTACATTTGACATATTTCCTGCCTGATATCCCTTGCGAAATAAAAAAAATTATCGCTCTATATAGGAAAATGTTGCGATATATCCCGACCCTACTGTATGGCATTAATAGATTGTAATGCTTGTAATAGTTCAAAAATGGTTACTTCTTAGCTACTTCTGAAGAGTGTGGATGGGTTAGAATTCTGGCAGCAGAATTTTTTTTTGCTCATCAAGGATTTATGTCAAAGTTTGGGATAACCATGAAAGCATCTGTTCACTTAAAGTAACAAGTTATTTTTTGGAGAGCAATGAGGTACCCTGACACTCATGACTGCCTGTTCCTGTATTGGAGACTACTGTACTGTACTGTACTGTACTGTACTGTACTGTACTGTACTGTGTCTTTCTCTGATGGTGATACTGGAATGAGAGTTTCTCTGTTTGACTCCTGACTCCATTTCTGTGTAACTCCTGACTTTTAGATTCTAGTGTGAGAGATGGCTTCATTTCTAAACTTAAGAATCCCGCCCCTCAGTGATATCTGTATTTGACTCCTTACAAAAACTGATGTTTCTGTACTGGACATTCCATAATTCTCTATCACACTCCTGACTCAGTTTCTACTGGGTAGTGAGATGTTGGACTGTCATTTGTGTAGCTGAGATTCCTGATTGTAAGTTTCTTGTGCCAATTCCAAGCTCATTACTATAACAGGCTCCTAACTCTGTGTCTAATACTGACTCCTTTGTGTCACTGTATAGCTGAGATTCTGGACTGTTACTGTTAATTTCTAGATTTGATTCCTTGCAGTCCATTTATGTGTTGCTCAATCTCATTTCCTCCTCCCTTTTTGTGTCTGTGTGTCTCAGTCTGTCCATGTTTCCTTGTGACTTAATGATACAAATTTGGAGTTAGTTAATTAATTTTTATAAGGTGGTATTAAATTGACTTATACTCTTAATAATTGACCTTTCTACTTTGCAAAATTAGCTGGTGGACTTGCTAATTAATTGTTGAACTTCATAAAGTAACTTGTGGACTTAATACAGTAACCAATGGACTTCTTATTTTAACTTATGGACTCCCTGAATCAATAAAAGACCCCTAATTTTTTTTTTTAATTGTGGAATTAACTTTAGAACTTAATGAATTAATTTTGAGGTTAATTTATGAACTTACTGAATTAACAGATGGACATATTAAATTAACTTTTGAATATAATGAATTTACTGTTGGACTTATTAATCAGTATATATATTTAAAAATTTTAACTTTCTGAACTATTGAGAAAGTATTAATTATCTGTACTTGTGTGGGATAAAGTGCATTATTAATTATTATTAATTTAACTTATGGATTTACTTAAATAATTTCAGACATGCCAATTTGCTGTGTTCAATTCATAATAATAAAAAAAAAATAGGTTGTTTCTTGAAAGTACATTTAAGAGATGATGGGAGATATATTTGGGGAAGACCTTACAGTATATTTGTCATGTTTTAGATGTGGGAAAGTTTTAGGTAATTTTAAAGAAAGTTCTGAAAACTTATTAACATAAAAAACATTTTTTTCAGCTCATTAATTTATAAACAAATTTGTAAAAGAATTGTGGAAAGCATTATGGAATATGTTTATTATCAAATAGAAATACAGTCGGTTATTTATCTGCCATCCTTGGCACACCTTCACCAATCACACCTTGATTTTTTGTATTATTATTAGTAAAGCAGTACTGTATTTTAACTTGATGGAAACTGCATGTATAAAGTACAATATGGTGGAGGGAATAGATGTAGTAGTTGTTGTACATCTTGTGCTGACAGACGTAACCTGTGGTAGTAGAAGTTCACAGGTGATGCCACCAATATTATGGGATTGCAGGGCTTCCTGAAACTGGGTTAAGAAGGAATTATTTGGTCATTAACTAAATGCTTCATTCTGGATTTATAATACAGATAAAAATATAAGACTTCCAACACATGCACACACACATATACACAGAGTAAGAGAGCAGAAGACTGAGTTTGGAGGTTACTTCACCTCACCACAGTTCACGCTCTCACTGAAGGGAACCAGATGGGCCTTGATACCCAGTTCCATCCACATGCAGTTGCCCACTGTCTCACCCCCAAGGCTCAGTGTAATTTTTATATTATTTTTGGATGATATTTTTGAGATGCAGCATAAGTTAAACAGTTAGGTACATTTTATGTCTACAGTAACAAAGAGTATCCATCATAAAAATCACTGAGAACCTGGCATCAGATAGCCTGTGATTACTTGTTCCCCAAACTTGCCACAGACAATGTTTTGACTTAATTATGTCTCTCAGCTGGCATGCTTGACCTATGTACATCAGCTCAAGAGTTAGCAAAACCCGTTGTTTAAGAAAAGAAAAAATTTTGTGAGGGGGTTAATGCTCTTATATTGGTTTTTAAAAGGTTAAATTTAAGTTTGATTAAAATTTGATTGAATTCTGTTCCAAGTTGCAGGTAGCAATATAATTTTCATTGCTAGAAATACAAGAATATGTTGATATTGTTTTGTATTTTTCCAATCAATTATTATTTATTTAAAGGCCTAGAACAATGGCATTGGTGAAAAACAGCAGTAGGGGCTGAACAAATTTGACACAGCAGGAGGCAGGGGTCGGACTGGTAGGAGCATTAAAATATTCGAGAATTCATTTTTCATCTGGGTACATGACTTCAAGATGTAGTGTTAAGAAGTTAACCATATTTGGAATTAAGATGTATCCATATCCTTGATCATGGCTTCAAAATTAATTTTAAAATTTAATAGTGACTCCATTTAATATCAGTGGTGATGGAAGTCTTCTAAAAATCATTAAAACTACTGTACAGTATATAGAAATAATAAAAACTAACCAAAAACTTAATAAACCCAATGAAAAAGGCAGAGATGTAAAAACAAAACAATGGATTTTATGTTTGGTTTAAAGTGGCCAACCCTGTCTCAACTGTTAGCATATTTCACTGTATATGATCATTTTCAAATACTGTACGTGTGAGATGTGGCACCAACGCCCACCAGACAAGAGATAGGAGCCATTGATGTTCTACTTGGTAATCTGTATGAAAACTATTACCATGCAGGAAATGTGCACATTCACAGATAGAAGGGGAGGGGGGGGGTTGCTTTTTTAGCATCCTTGGTTTGGTTACTATAGTGAGGGTAGTTTTTCCCAAACTGCAAGTTTTTCTATGAAGTAAACAAACAGTTGTACCAAATCTCTAAAAACATGCCAGCCACTGTACCCATTGTAAATGGAGACAACTGTACAGTTTACATGGAATTCTGAGAAAACTTTAATTGAATGAGCAAGTACATGTTTAAACAAAAAATCACAACAATATTAAATATGTTGATTTGATTTTTGCAATTGGTAAATTAGAGAACAAGATAAACTGATGTTTCAGTTTATATGAGCTACTGTGTACTTAAACTAGAAGGTAAATTAAAATTTATTACAGTATTGCATATTGAAATTGAAATTTTAAATTTTCATTGTACAGGTAATTAGAATTTAAGATGAGGGGCCGGTGGTTTCGTGATCTGTGCCCACTGGTAACTATGACTGAAATGTTCATAACTTGGTGGATGGCCACAGGCTTTGTTGATCTGCCAAGACCACCATTGTTTGAAAACCAGTTTACCACAATAGTACTGTATATGTACAACAAACAAAAATAAAAGCATGGTTTATTCTTATAAAGTTATAAGACATGCATACAGAAAAATACAAAGGAAATATTGATCCTTTACTGAGCCATGGGGGAGTGTTTAAGTGAGCATGTGGGGACCAAGCAACTAGGGGGAGGATGAAGAGCTTGGGGTGGTGGTGGTCAGACTGCTACTACTGTAACAGTGATGAATATATGTTTTCTATGGTGACAGAGCCCTGCTAAGGTGTTACAAGTTTTACTGGAACATGTGGCATATTTTTTTTATGCCAAATTTGGTATGCAATTAAAAATAGCTTTTCTCATATGGGGGATATTTCAGTAGTGTAAGTGGCTCATACTAAGGGTAAGAATTCATTCAAAATATAAATGTACACTCTGGAATTAATTTGTTGCAAGATAGTGTATTAAGGTGCTGTATTTATGGCTGCAGTGTATATAGTGAGGGTTTACTTTCTACCATAGTGTGTGTGCATACATACATATGCACATACATACATACATACATACATACATACATATATATACATATACATACATACATACACCGGTGATTTTTTTATCACTTGGCTTGATGATTTTTTTTTTATATATAATAATAGTAATTAGGTTAGGGGAAAATTCTTATCAATAATTTTATGCCACATAAAACTTTTCATATTTATTTATTTATTTAAGAGGAAGCCTTGTCAATTTCATGGTACATATATAAACAGTAATTTGTTTCTAACAATGGTAATTTAATTTTTTCTCTTAAGTGCTTTGATCTTCTCTTACTGCCTATCTATTTCATTGTTAAAGATAATATAAATAAATTAAATTGTTAAAGGAAATTCATTTTGGGGTTCCCATGAACCCTGTGTGGCAGTTTCAGAAGATATTGCAGTTATTTTTTAACATTTATCAGTGTCATGCCTTGCACTTGTAATTTAGATTTTAGTTTCATATTTTGGAATGTCTTATTGCCTTCTCAGTGTAAAATTTCTTTTATTTTCTCAATTTTAGGATGTTGTAGATCTTATCAGTGCAGTACTGTATTTATAAACAAATGTAGGAGAGCTGTAAGATTCACTTAAGGTATAACAAGTGCTGGATATGGATGCATGAAGCACTAATAGTATAATTAATTTGTTGTTAAAATCTTTAATGACTATGATTCAAAGCAATTATGAGAACCATGAATATGCAACTTAGTGCTGCAAAAAGAGTACCCCATTACCAGCCAAGCTCGAGACTGGCTGTGAGTAAGTTACGTGCTGAAAGACTGTAGCAGTGGGTAAGTTGCGTGCTGACACCCTCTGATTTGCAGGCGGATTACACTAAGGCTCTTGAGGCGTATCACAGTTCTCCCGCTTACCAGCAGTATCTGGCAGCCAAGTCGAAAGGTAGGTGGTAGGAGGTCTGGTTGGGGCGAGGCACTGCATAATATGGCTCAGCCATACTCCTGTTGAAGGTTTTAGCACTGTAGGGTTATTGTTGTGTGTGATGGAAGAAGCAGAAGCATCTTGTAATATTCGCTGGTCTGATCTTGAGCATGATCTTTGTATTTATAGACTAGCATGATCATTCTCAAATTCTGCTTTGAATGAGATGTTTTGCATCAACATATAAATGAGGTTTTAATATTGATCAAATTTATTGTAACACTGCCCTCAGAATTTGGAAATGAGTGCTAGGGTTTTCTTCCTTCTAACAAGAGTACTTCCTCTGGTTAAGTGGTGATATTCATACCTGAATGTTTAATAAGGTATGTCATGACTTCAATAACCTGAAGCAAGATTCAGCAGATGTTGATTATTGTTCCTTGTGATTAGTGTGATGAACAGTTTACAGTAGTGTCCGTCTTCATGATAAAAGCTGTTAGCCCAGCTAGGAGAAATTTGTGTTTTAAGTTTTAAGAGTTATTGCTAACATAACATAAGAAAATGAAGAACATACATATTGGGGTAAACAAGCTCCAAACATTATGTAGTAGTGTATTGCTACACACTTGCTGAAATTTTATTGCAAGAGCAATCTTGAAGTGGTTCTGTGGACCTGCTGTGGATATTGACCAAAAACAGATGAAACTATATACACATTGACCAAATAAGATGGAACTCTTAAAATAGTTCTATGTTCGTCAACTGAATCCAGTCTAACAATATTAGTATATGGATTTTATTTGTTGTGTAAAAGTATTGTATATGAGAATAGATCACCCAGTGCTGTAGGTAGCAGGTAATTAAGTAGTAAAGTTTATTGGAAATGGTAGTTATTTGTTTGATTCCAAGAGCAGGGTCAGGTTGGGCTATATGTTGTGGTGACCTTGGTGTTTTATGGTATTCTCTTTCTCTTGTTTGTCATATAAGAGTAAGAAGGACTGGAACAGAAGAGATAATTTTGCATAATTTCAAGATTTTGCAGTGACAATGAATTACTCTACACACCTGAAAATCAGGGTACTGTAGATGCCAAAGAAAATTATATATTGGTTGCAGGTTTTAGGGATAATACCATCCAGAATATAACTTATTGTACAGTATCTCAAAAAAGTATCTGTCAGGATGGGTCCGATGACTTCCGAAATGGTACTTTCAACTGTGATGTCCCGGGAGGGTTGGTATGTGTGGCTCTGTGGCATACTGATCCTACTTATTTTGTCACCGGACATTATGTTAGTTACGTTGAAGTAAATAAACATTGCATGACTTATGTTAAACTATATACCAAAGTAAATGCATGTCCCAATATCTATCATTCATGGTCTTATAATGTTTCACAGTGTGTGGAGAGAGATTTTTTGATTGTGTTGATAATAGGTGATGAGTTGTATTTTTGTGGTTGGATGTTGTTCTTTGTTAAGCCTTTAAGGAATTATCGGTGTGTTTTGTGTTCTGTTTCCTGGACAATACGTCACCATTTCATCTGATTTTCTTTAAATTTGCCTCTGGTTGTGCTGTTTGGAACTAAGGCAAAAGAGAAAAAAATTGTTGCGACACCACAAGATCTGAAATGGAGAATTTTCAGTGAGGTTGATAATCTCCATTTGCTGAATCTTGATGTATTGCAGGAGAACACAAGGTATGCATCTTTTTGGTTATCTCTAACATCTAACTTGCATGCAGTTATTTGGGGTAGAAGGTAGTTGCTTATCATCAGTGTCTCTCCACCAAATCCTCTTTCCTCTTCATGGTCATCATGCTCTTTTTTCTTACAACTTTTTTGTTTTACTATGGTGTACTACTGAGCTGCACCACAGACCGGGGCCAGCGTTTTTTATTTATTTATTTATTATTATTATTTTTATTTTTTTTTTTAGATCTTTTTCTGTAACACTCTACTTCTACTCACAGCACCTTGATGACAGTTCTCTACACTGTATACTACTTGCATTTGTGGTTTTGTTTTACAGCTTGAATATGAAAAGGCAATGAAAAGCTATCATGCTTCCCCGAGCTATCAGGCGTACTTGAATGCCAAAACAAAGGGTGAGTTGGAATTAACTTTCTTGTGTACAGTATGTATTTGTTTCCTGATATTCTCATCCATTTTTATTGTCTGCATAAGTTACCGTTTAACTTATAGTACAGTATACTGTATGTATTTTTTTTTCTATTCATTAAAAAATTTTGTTTTATTAGAAATAGCTAGTTTAATATCTTCAAAGTAGTGCTATGTTTTCATAGATCATCCGGGTTGTTAGTTAATACCAGATTAATTTGAGATGTCACTAAAGATGATTAGTTACAGAAATAATATATACATAGTAATGTGATGATTTCTTATTGTTCTACCCACAAGATGAATGAAAATTGAAACATCTATTTCTCAAATTTACTTTGGAAACTTTATTTACAGAACATGAGTATAAAATTTTATATTGTATAGTTCATATGTTAAACAATAGAGTAGATTGTCAAGTCATTTGACATGTAACAAAAATCTTGGATTATTGACATTCACTCCTGGTCCTCTGTGCTCCTTAGTTTTAGGCATTTTTTTATATTGGTTGTAATTAGTGAAGACATTTTAAATTAGTTTAACATCAATTATGATTGAATTCAGGGATATTCAGTAAAAACAAAAATCAATCTATTATGAAAGAAAATATATTCAGTAGAACTAAACATCATGAGAAATGTAGGTAGATTAAATAGATTGTGTAGAGCAATATCTCGAGCAGGCTTCTATTACAGGATGTTCAGAGATTCAATGGATCAATGTTGAATATATTTAACTAAGGATAAAACCCTTTAGGGTTTGAGTTAACACTATAGGTCACTCGGGACAAGAGACACTAAAATTTTCAAATGTTCTCAACATGCTTTCCTGGATTGATTCCATCCTGTAAGTCGTATGTTGAGTAGTCATCGTATAAAGTTTAAAATATGTGGGAGGAGGAAATACTTAGGATGTAGATCTTTCTTATTAGAGGGAGAGTAGTCTCTCTTTTAAGATGTAATTATGATTGTTTCAAAAACTGAACATACCCTTAGCAATCATTTACTATAAAGTTAAAAGCTACCTGAGGATTTTGTGTTACATTAAGTTTCAAAGCATTTAAGTGTGTCTTCTCAGACTCATCAAGGAATAGGTCTGGGTCACTGCTTTCTCATGAGGGGTCTTTTATTTTGGGGGGGGGGGGTATTCATAGTGAATTTATATATTTTCTAAGGGCCATGATTTGCTGCATACATACATATATACTGGCAAGACTGGCAGACAGACAATTATTAATTTATGCTTTTAAGGAAATAATTTGGAGCTAGGGTGAATTTACAATGATACAGGGCAGTAGAATCGAAAGGAAATGTTAAATTAAAATAAGATAAAAAATTTAGGAAAATGGAAAAATTTAGATATTACAGGAACAATACAATACCCTGTACTAATATTTATTGTAATAAATCTTAATATAATAATCTCCCACAAACCACAGAAGTAATATTCTAGACTACTTCAGCAGTTGGCAAAGTTGTGATTGGCAAGGGGTGGATTTAATGGGAAACAAAGGGCTTGGGGAAGTGACCCTTGAGAGACATACTTGAAGTCCTATGATGTGCACCTGGCCTTGACACATTACCCAGCAAAGGTTTTCATAGCCTTTTTTCCAGTTCTGATTTTAAGAGCTCAGAGTGGTTTAGTTGATGTGAGAGGTTATTAAGGGGTAAATAAAGAAGTGTTTGAAAAGAATGCAAAACTGGAAGGAAAATGGAGCATTGTAGTGGACTGGTGTGATATATGAAGTATGTGCTGGAAGTGTGCTCTTCTGTATGTGTTGTACAAGTAGGATCCATTAGCTGATATAGTGTACACTTGGTAATTGATGTAGTACTGTATATGTGAGGGAAATAGTTTGAGTAACTTAATCAACATGAAATTATATATTATCTAAAAAATAGGAAAATAGGTTGCATGTTAATGCTAAGCTACTAACAGAGATGGCTGAACTTCTTATGGGAATGATATTTGAATGATGTATTATTTTAATTTATGCATAGTTGAAAGAAAAATGCTAGACTGTTAAATATAAAGTTTGATGCAAAGTTATATAGAAAACCTTTGCTGCCATATACATTTCAGTATACACATGAATATACTATACAGTACATACAAACAAATGAAATAGGACCTTCGAAATTTGGAATTAAAGTTTGGAAAAATGTAAAATTCAGTTGATTTCTTGCTTAGGCCTCAAGTCAAATTGAAAATTTTTGAAAATGCTCCAAAATTTGGAAATTATATACTTACTGTAAGTACTGTACATTAAATATGTACTTACTTTGTCTTTTCCTTATTTTTTTTCATACATTTTCAGTGTATAGTGTATTTATATACAGTACTGCATTAATTATTTATCTTTGTTAATTTGAAGTTGGTGTGTTTACAATACTGTGCCATACTTATGCACTGTCATGTACACTGTAGTAACTGTACACATCATTGATGTTGGTTTATTACAAAATTCAGAAAGGACCAGGTCCCAATTTATTCAAATTTTAAAGGTTCCACCATACTACATGCCTTACACAGGTAGAGACAATAACAAGGTGATATGGAACATGACCCATGACTACTTACCCTGTACTGTATACATTACAACAAACATCATTTGGGTGACGTCATCTTATGCTGCTTATTTCTGTTCTTGGATAAGTTACTTTTTGTTATTGATATTGATTTTATTGGTGGTTATAAAGAAATTGTAATTTTTTTTTTTTTTTTTTTTTTTTTTTTTTTATAAATAATACCTGTACTGTACTTTAAAAATTTACTTAAATAATTGTTGTGCATACTGACAACAGAAACAAACGTTTCTGGGCTCACCAGGGTCTCTCCCACCAGCAGGAACGGCAGCCACAGAAGAAAAAGAAATATTGGACAGATCCTCCAGTACTGTCACCACTGGTACCAAACTTGACCGGCGCATCGACATCCAGCCGGCTGAAGATGAGGATGGTGAGCCACTACTTTTTAAGGGTTTGAAGTTAATGATGTCAGGAATGAGCCAGTTTAAGTGTGGAATTTTGTGATCATATATTTGGTTCTAAACTTAAATTGACTTCAGGTTTAATTTATTCTGTTTTACTGAAGATCAGTTGCAAAAATTTTGTTACAATGTTCAGATTTCGGATTGAAGATATGTATTATAATTTAAGACATGTAAATATAGGTATATTGTATTAGCATTCTTAATTATTTCATAAAATGGAAGTAAACTTTCTGTTGACACGAGTTTTAGTAAACAGATGTGATTTCTCCGTGTTTTTCCGGTTTTCTGTTTTTTCCCATCGTTTTATGTGACCCACATGAATCGTGTAGATTCGTTAAGAAAATTTTGAGGTGAAGGGGGGGGGGGTTGGTATGGCCACAACGAATGAAATGTTTGTCAGTTAATAATAATTGACACACTACGGTCAATAGGTCTGCCTCACAAGGACAATGAGCCAGTATACTGTACTGAGTATAGTGGCCACATTCTACAGGTTCATGCATTACATTATATACTGTTTTAGGCACTCACGAAATGAGTAACAATGTGAGAAATTAAGTTAAATATGGTAAAAACTTCCGGGGTAGGTGTTTCCTCGGACCCCCAGCTTTTTTTTTTTTTTCTTCCCCAAGACCCAATCACATACCTGAGTAAAGCATTCAATATGACAAAATGTTTTTTTGGTATATCAGCTTTTAACAATATCCCACAGATTATGATGATGGACTAAGTGTGAAACATGTGGCCCATTCCCGGTATGTGCGTAATCATCGCCTCATCAATGAAATATTTTCTGACACTGTTGTACCGGATGTAAGATCTGTGGTCACCAGCCAGCGATTGACAGTATTGAGGCGACAGGTTCAATCTTTGACTATGCACCAGGTGAGTTTTTTCTTTTTCTTATGTTTAATGTTTATGATGGCAAGTTGTTAAAGTAAGATGGAAATGCTTTATGGGAAATATTTTTGAACAATTTGAGAGTTGCATATAAATTGCATGGAGTGTTTAGTCCGATGGTGAAGAGTTGAGTTGATATATGCAGGACATTAAAAGGCTTTTAAGTAAATAATTTATTTTGCAGAAAAAGCTAGAAACAGAGCTGCAACAAATAGAAGAAAAATTTGAGGCTAAGAAACGGAAGTTTGTGGAAGCAGGTGACAGCTTCCAGGGAGAGCTAAAGAAAGTCAAGGTAATATATGCTATACATACAACTGGCAGAAACAATATGAAGCATGTCAATGATTCTGTGTATACATGTTAACCAAAATTTGTCATACTGTATTTTGAACAGGAAAAGGCATATTTCCCCACTCTTATACTTCATAGTTAATCAATTGTTTGGCCTCTTAGGTGTTGCACTCTAAATGATAGTTGGAATCATAGTTTGTTTTGTTTAATTAAAAATAGCTTCAGCCCACAAAAAAGTATTACAACATCTTAAAATTGATACAGTCAACCCTCGCTTTACGCGGTCCCACTTTACGCGTTTCCACGTTTATGCGGTACCCTGCCAAACACGGAATGCTCACTTTCCGCGGTGTGTGTACCCTTTTACGCGGAGAGCGGCGCGAGCAGGGTGCGCACAAGGTCGCCCAGTCATCAAAACATGACCGAGTTCTTCACCCGCCACCCACCACAGCCGGCCCAAGTCAGTGATAGTGATAATGATAGTGAGGATATGGACTTATATGGACTTTGAGGGGTTTGACAAAGAGGCCCTGCAAGCCTCTGTGGTGGATAGTGATACAATTGATACAAGTGATACAGGTGAGGGCCAATAATCTGCCCTCTGTCTCGGAACCAACCCCCCCATCCCCGTGTGCCCAGCCATCTTTTCTACTAATGTAAGTGTTAAAAAACCTAATATTATTGATATTTCTCTTAATTATTAATTATGTGTGCATACCATCATAAAATTAAGAAGTTATTTTTACTACAACGTAGGTATTGTGTCTGAAAAAGTGGAGTTTGGGGGTCGGCCCAGTCTCTATTTCAATTAATCCCATATGTTATGTTGTTCACTTTACGCATTTCTCACTTTACGCGGACCACCGTGGGTTCAATTGATCGCGTAAAGTGAGGGTTCACTGTATTATACACTACTGTGTACAGATATGAAGCACAAATGAATTTGAAATACTGAGTTTGTATTGTGAATGAACTGGTAGCCCTGCAGTGTTTGACCCATTGTTAAAATCATGCCTTTATACTTATCAGATTTCAGAAAGTTGTAATAATTGTATTAATGGGCAGATCACTTCCCCTCTTCATCAGAAAATTCCAATACATTTTCTTTAATGCAGTGTTGTACTGGGGCTTTTTTGTATAGTAAAAAGTAATTTCTGTACTATTGACCTCAATATCTCCTAATATCAAGTGCACATGGCTTCAAAGTGGCCTCAAAATGCCCATAATATTGGTCAAATTTAAAAAAAATTCTAGGGGGCTTACAGCCCAGCCCAGCCTCCCGAAAAAAAAAAACTTCTGGGTGGGCAGGTTTGCTGTGATTGCACTCCACAAATTTTCTGTTTCTCAATCCATATTTCTGTGTCAACCATCTAACATAAACCCTTTCCTTTGCAAAATTTTCTGGCTACTGGAGCACATTTCAGTGTTATCTTACTTTTTAAATGAATAATAATATACATGCTACAGTAAATAGGCCTATACTGTGCTTTCCAGAGCTTTCACTAGCCTACCACCTCCAGAACAGTGACTATCAGTGCTGTATTACTGCAGGCACAAGTTTTATTAGCAAGTGTGCTAGTACCCAGGTTTGCAGTGGTGAGTGGGGGTGGGACTCCCAACTTTGGTTGTTACCCAACTCTTAATACCAATTAAGATGAACAATAAAATGAAAAATCATAAACTTACCTCACTACAACCACCCACACACCACATAAGTCACAGCTGCAAGAAACTGCATGGGATAAAAGAGAAGGAACCAGACGTAGTTGGGTTTAGAGCTGGTAGTGTGAATGTGTAGTATGTATGATGCGTGAAAGAACAGGTGAGATTTTGGAGACATTCCTAAATGCAACACTACCCCATAAAGGTCTAAGATACTGTACTTTAATATAAATCTACAGTATACTGTACACTACCTATTGCTAGCTCGAGTGTTTGTTCATCTAAGACACTTAGTATATGTACTATATTTTTTCTTATCATCTCCATACCTTATAGGCGATGGCCCCGAAATTGGATGAAGCATCCTTTGTTGCCATGGTAGAACGACAAAAAGAAATACTGAGACGAGAAGCTGAAGAGAGGCAGCGTACGGCACAAGGCTTGCCTCCTCGGCCCTCCTCAACTTCTTCCTCCCAAGCAACACCAGCTGGCAACTCGTCTGCACGAGAAGACAGCAATGAAGCTGCTGGACCTGCTCCTCAGAACACTGCTACTCCTGTTGATGCTGCACCATCTCCTGCACCAATGCAGGTCAGTTAGATGAAATTACAAGGACTCAACATGTTCAGCTCTTATAAGGCAAATTGGGGCAATTGAAGTTGACCAAGAGTGTAGTAGTATTAGTTAACTCCCTCTTATATTAATGTTTTTTGTTTCATTACTAGTATCATTGAAACTATGCTATTGGAAGCTTTTTCTTTCTCAAATTTTGAACAGAATTTTTAGCTACCTTATTGAATGATAATTACATGCTTCATAAATACATTGTGGTGTTGTGTGCTGTTTATGAGCCTCCTTGAGATATGGGTCATTGCTTCAGTCGAGATTTATCTAATTATGTAGTTTTTTTTTATTACTCCTTTGGGTGGTTCTTATGCTGAGAAGTTTTAGATGGTACTTGTATCATGTAGAGAGTTTCCTCTGTAAGTGGCTACTCTAATTATGTACAGTATTGGTAACCAGCTGAGTGTAGATTTCCAGATATGAGACTATGTGAATATTGCTAGACTAAAACTATTATATGAAGGGAAATACCATCTTGCTCAAATTTGGCAATATGCTCAAAATTCCCAACAGTACCAATTGGTTGGCTGCCATATGTCTTATGATCACAATCCTTGTAACAGTTAAGTAACTGTAGCTAATAGATATGGCTTTCAGAATGGATTTCTCTTTATACAGTACTATCTATATATCTATATATATATATATATATATATATATATATATATATATATATATATATATATATATATATATATATATATATATATATATATATATATATATATATATATATATATATATATATAATTTTGAAAATGTAAAAGTATTTTGCTAACAGCATTTACTCAGTAGAAGTTTCAAAATGTAGACAAATACCGTATATACTCGTGTGTAGTTCGAGCTTTTAAGACCAAATTTTTAGGCAAAAAATTGGGGGTCAACCTCTACATGCGTAATAGTTTTGTTAGGTTGAACCTGTGCATGATGGGAAGGGTGAGGAGCAACTTATAGCTTCAGACATGAAAAATATTTACCATTTACTGCCAGTAAACAATGGAAACGTAAAATATGTACCAATTAGTAATGAAAAGTTGTGCAGTTCCTTCAGCAGATGAAGCTCGCCAACTTACAATTACAATAGGCTAAATTACCTTACAACGTGCTTTCAGTAGTCTATGTTGAAGTTCTTAGCACAGGCTAACTTATCATATCATATACGGTATCACAGTACTCATTGATCTACAAAAAATACCGGTAATAAAAACCTTTTTGATATTTCACACTTAATATAATACCCGGTAATCTACTTCAACCTCCTATTGTTTACAACGATGCATGATGCACCACCAGCTGTTGCGTATCAGCTAGAGCTGCTAGATAGTACAAGTGTTTTTCGAATCGTTCTCAGTTAAAAAACTGTTACATCACATGTATATTTTACCTTAACTGTGCCTGAATGAATATATTCTCGGAAATAAATAGTTGTTTTGCTGAAACGTGATGTATTTTAATGTAAAATAGGATAAAATACATGACGAAAACAAAAGATTTTACCTAACCTTCCGATGCTCAAGAGAAGTTACTCGTTTTTTTAATAGTTTTCGGTTAAAATACTGTTATATTACAAAGATATTCTATTCATACTATGCTTGATATAATGCATTCATGGAAATGTAATATTTTTTCTGAAATGACGTAAGTATTACAGTGGAAAGTGGGATAAAATCATGACGAAAACAATGACTTTCGCTTTCTTTCGTTCAAAAGATGTTACCATAATCGCTTTTTGAATGGTTTTCAGTTAGAAAACTGTTGTATTACAATAATATTCTATCCTAATTGACTTGAATAAATACTACGATACCATATTTCTGAATTTTCATTAAAATCCATAAAAATCATTTTCCTTGTCATCGTCTGCAGCACCAAACAGCTTCTCCCAGTCCTCTCCTTGAACAGGGCTAGAGGGTACGTGTTTTTCGAATCGTTTTTAGTTAAAAACTGTTACATCACACGTATATTTTACCTAAACTGCGCCTGAATGAATATATTCTCGGAAATAAATAGTAGTTTTGCTGAAACGTGATGTATTTCAATGTAAAATAGGATAAAATACATGACGAAAACAAAAGACTTTACCCAAGCTTCCAATGTTCTTGAGATGTTACTCGTTTTTTAATAGTTTTCGGTTAAAATGCTGTTATATTACAATGATATTCTATTCATACTGTGCTTGATATAATACATTCACGAAAATGTAATATTTTTGCTGAAATGACGTACGTATTACAGTGGAAACTGGGATAACATCGTGACGAAAACAATGACTTGCTTTCTTTCGTTCAAAAGATGTTACCGTAATCACTTTTTGAATGGTTTACAGTTAAAAAACTTTTGTATTACAATAATATTCCCTCCTAATTGACTTGAATAAATACTTGAATGGAAATATACAATATTTTTGTTGAAACTACCCGCGTTTCAGTGTAAAGTGTCGTAATAATAAATGATAAACAATTTGCCTTCGGCACTCAGTGTTTCAGGCACGGCGAGCCTCAGTTTATTGGATGTAGAGTGTTTTTACTGAAGGATTTGTTGTTCCATTACCCTCAAAAACGTGGGTCGACCTATAAACAAGGAATATCATAAATTAACGATTTATTGGTCAAAAAATCAGGGTCGGCCTATAAACGAGGGGGGATTATAGACGAGTATATACGGTAGAATAAATTAAAAAAAAAATTTTTGTTAGGAAGCAAATTTTCAGCTTACCATAATGATAGTAACTACAGTTGTGAGTTGCGTGGTCATAAATCTTCCCAATTAGTAAAATAGATTAAACTCGGTAGTAGACACACACACACACACACACAAGTAATCCCTCATCAACCATGGTTTTGAATATTCATGTTTGTACACTGTTTACCAACCATGGTATCCAGTTTTAAGTATACTTCTACTCTCATCTTTCTTATTATTTTTATTATTTCCTTTGGGCTTAGACCCTGACTGCTCTGTACAGGTAAAATTTCCTTCACCTGGCTATTCTTCTTAAACATATCTTTTATTGCTTTACCAAATGTTTATTGCAGAGTACCAAATATATTTTTACTTGGCTAACACCTCACTGTTATCTTTAACCATTTACCATAAGATCCACTGCAAGTATTTGTATGGTACTAATTATTCTATTGTTACACATGTATTTCACCAGGACACATGGGTTAGTGTGGTGTGGTGTGGTTTAGGTGCTACAACTTCTTTGTACACTGATTTTGGTGGATTTATTTCACATTACAGTTTTCCATTTATATAAAGTATAACAATTTCCTCAAATCTATTGCTGGTCATAGTTTCTAATTCTTACCATTGACTTTAATACCACATTTTTCAGTGTTTGAAAACAGTGTCACATTTTAATTAAATTGCACCTTTAATTGTCCATCTATTAAAGTAACTAAATAAATGAATATTCCTGAATTTTCCTTTGTAACTAGCCTTCTGTGAACTATAAACAAAATGTACATTTGCATTATTCCTGCCTCTCCTCCACACGCAGCCTACCTCTCTTCTCATGGCTAACAAAAATATCATCATATGCACCAATTGCACCATGCCACTATACTGTATATTTATGGCATTTGACAAATTGCACCAAATATTTTAGCTAATGATAATATGGAGTGGTCATCAGTCAGTGATTGTGATATGAAAAATATGGTTTTATATATATATATATATATATATATATATATATATATATATATATATATATATATATATATATATATATATATATATATATATATATATATATATATATATATATATATATATATATATATATATATATATATATATTTTTTATTTATTTATTTTTTTTAACCATAGACTTAAGTGAACTCTAGGAAATTATTGAAAATCAGAACTATATATATAATTCTTTTATACTGTATATATATATATATATATATATATATATATATATATATATATATATATATATATATATATATATATATATATATATATTCTATATATTAAATATATATATATATATGTATTCAGATTTCAACATTATATACTGTATATATATATATATATATATATATATACAGTATATAATGTTGAAATCTGAATACATAGTTTGCTAGAATTGTCCTAGGAATACACCCTCAAATTTAATGTACATCTTTGTGAATCACCCTGTATATGTAGGTGTTAAACATTCAATAGAATTGTATGCTAATAAATAGTATACTATATACATAATGGTTACTGAAAACATTTTTTTATACAAGTAATACAGTCTTCTAAAAACCTCAGTTATGGATAATTTCCTATTTTTTTATTTGGTTATTAATATGGTAAATAAAACCATCCTTCAGAATTTCACATTTTGTTCTCTTGTAAACGTTCTTATACCATAGCAGTCATGTAAAAAATCATGAACAACTCTTAAGACCTCTTATGTATTAATATTTTAAGGTATTAAAAATAGCAACAGAAGTTTATGCTTTACTTAGATATAAGTTGTTACAGTATTAAGCTGAACATATAATCCTCTTCACCTACATTTTGAACTCCAGGAGAACGACATGGGTGGTGATGACGAAAACAAGATGGAAGGTGAGAATACCCGACGACTGTCTTAAATATTAATATTAGTTCTTCCTTAAGTCATAGTTTTTTGTATTCAAGTGTTAAAAGTATTATTTTAAATGTTAATCATATTTAAGTTTATTGAAGTCATTAAGGTGACAATTATTAGCCTTGGTAACTCACTTGTTTATTATGGAAAGTGCTTATTCCCTTCAAGAGTGAGCTCCCAAATAGTGCTGTGGTAGACTGGAATATCTTAACACTCAGAATAGTACAGTACTGTAGTATTTAGAATTAGTCAGTATGCATTGCCTTTGCAACAGTTGAAAATTGCACGTTTTGTTTCAAAATACATTTAAAGTAATTTTGTATGAATGTTGTTGTAGCCATTGTAATGTATAGGTGAATAGTATACAGTACAGCTTCTTTTTTTTTTTTTTTTTTTAAGAAAAGAATGTCTGACAATGAACTCCACTACCAAGCCCAGATCACTAGAGACACCTTAGTTTACCATGGAAAAATTTGATTGTTACACACGAAATTTGAGTTTATTAAAGTTGTACAGAAATTGTTACAGTACTTTAGTGTCATTATAATATACAGGTAGTTCCTTATATATTGAGCTTCGATTTATGAAAATTTTAGGTTATTTTTTTTTCACTACATGTTTTTATTAACAAACAAAAGCTCTGTACAGTAGGGTCTCAGAGTACGCGTATCCATAGTACGCTACCCTGCTTATACGAGTCTGACCTCTGAACTGCCCTTACGTTCAGGTCCCACTCACACCAACCCACCCAGCATCTCTCGCTAGTTCAGTGTGTTTATCTCTTGTCCGTGCTGGATTTGGGAGGGGGTCAATATCTTGTACTCTAATATGGCTTTGAAACAAAGAAAATATTTTGTATTTTAGGGCTTATAAAACGCAGGCACTGCCCATTTCAGCAGGGTATATTTAGGAATAGAACTTTTGTGAGTATTTTTCTCCTGTAGCCATAGTTTTCTTAACCCTTAACCGGCAATTCTCCTCATATGAGAGTGTCTAGATTTGGGCGATTGTACTCCTTATGACTATCGAATATTTCCCGCATCAGATTTGAAATTTGCAGATGTATGGGGTTCATGAGCCTTGAGGGTACCTACGCTGCCACCTCCACAGCTTAGTGCATCGTTAGCAGAAGCATAGTGTCTCAGTTCCCTCGAGACAATGAAAGGTCCACACACATCTACATACACATATGTACCATCCCCTACCCCCCTCAGCATCTCCATCACACCACAGACTAGAAAATGTCCTAGAACCGATGATAATAATCTTCCCGTGATTTTTTATGATAAATTGATTATGGATAGTGTTAGTGATGGTGAAGTGGAATTATCTATCCACGAATTCGAAAGTGGTGATGAAAGCAACGTTGATCATGGCATACCCCAGGCTGCTCCGGCTACACAGTTTTCATGGTGTGGTGGTGATAATTTCGTGTCACCTACTTACGTGTTTGACAGCACTGAAAGTGGTGTTTCTGATGCTGCTAACATGATGAAAAGGGTAGTGAATTAGATTATTTTATGCAATTTTCAACACCCAACCATCCACGAACAAGTGAGTGTAAAATATTCTCATATTTTTTTTCCATTATCTATGCCATATTATCCAATCCCAACATATAAGTTTCATTGGATTATTTTTAAAAATCCTCAAATTTAGTCCTCTGGGGTGCACTGTTTGTTGACATATATGACACCGGTTAAGGGTTAAAATTATATTGTATACCAGTAAATGTGAGGAGTAAATAAGAATACAGGGGGGCCCCCAAATTCGCGGATTTTCTTTTAGCGGCCCTCTATTATTTGCGGATTACACGCTGGCTGTACCCAAGAATGTCTGTGGGTAGTTTTATAGTTGCCAGCATTTTTGCAACTGAGACAGGGAGCCATTCGTTCTAGAGACAGTAATTTCCTTTACCTGTACTGTATTGTAAATAATAATAATAATAATTAACGGTTTATTGAAAGAGCATGGCAGCCGGAAAGCTGAAAATATACAGTTGCATAATTGGGGAATGGGTCTCTTGATTTACAAATAATATACAAGTAACATAAATATGATACAAATATGATATATAATACTAGGTGGGGAGAAGGTCATACTACAGGGCATCTCAACATAGTGACAGTGCAAAAAGGTAAGATTGACTGGGAGTGAATACACTGGTTGATTACAAGTTATTGATAATTTTTACAATGGTTGGGACGTGGCTGTTCTTATAGCGATCAGTACGTGCTCGTATGGGCTGGATGCGGTTGTGGTGTCGAACAGCAATTCTCAGACGAGGGATCTCTATGTGTGTGTGTGTATGTAGACACATACACACAAAACACATACAAATAAATAATAATGGGAAAATCCTCTCACAAATAATCAGAAACAAATTTATTAGAAATGTGACAGTCTACCCAAAACATAACTCTGGCATCCTCTCTCTTGCACTGGTTCTGTGCCGGTAAGTTTCTCTCTCCTGGTGAATTTTGCTGCACTCATGGCAGTGCTCGTGGTGGTGAGAGTGAGAGAAAGAAAAAAGTACATAATGTGGGAAATTTTGAAGAAAGGGTCAAGATATTGGATATACTAAGGAGTGATGTATCGAACTCTGAAGTTTGTGACTGTTACCTTAGTATAAAAAAGGGGTTATACATATAGTATGTATACAGGAGAACCAGAATATAAGCTAATTTGCACATATGCAGGGATCCCAGGAACGTAACCCTTGCGTACTCTTAGACCCTACTGTAGGTATAATTTTTCTTCACAATTTTCTTATAAAATTTCCTAAGTAATAATGAATACATGCTTCTTTCATTCCAGTATGTTTACTTACTTCACTCAAATATTTTTTGTTATTGTTCCCAAACATTCGTAAATATTAGCAGGTCTCCAAATAAGCTTTCAGCATATTGTCAGTCTCCTACATTCACCATATAACTTAGGGTATTCCTCAAATTCACTAAAGGCAAATAGATTCAACTCCTCCACACACAGTCATTCAGCTAGTTGCCTGATTTCCCAATTTCCCCTTATGAAAAATTAATTGAAAGAAATTTAGTCTTTAATTACATATACTAAGTATGTACACTCTGAAAAAAGTATTGGCCCATTTTCTCATCGATACAATGTGTCACAATGGACGAATATTTCTGATCACTAATTGTGATTCCTGCATTATGTTGGTAGGCCTGTCTTCCTAGTATCTGTGAGGTTGCCCATTATTATATCTGGCATTTGTTGTAATTATGGTGAATCACTGTGCTCCATCTTTAGTAGAATAATATAATGATATTAATGTAGTGAAAATATATCAACAGCAGTCAAATACAGTAGTGGGTGTTTTCTTCTGGAAGTCCATGACCAACACTACTACCTGAGACTCGTTGGAAAACACAGCTTGGACCAACAGACATCGTCTCGTAGTGTGTATCGTAATGTTATGGTTCTGGCACGAATCATGAGATGATACGTTATATTCATAATTATTACCTCATCAATTGAGGTAGAAATAATATCAAAATGCAATAAATCATAATGTTATTGTAATTGGATGTGGCATTATAATACACTGTAATTACTTTATTTGCGAATGAATGCAATACTGGATTATATTGGTTCATATTTCGTTTGAAGCGATTCCATTGTAACCCTGGTTCAAGAAAACATAGTAACGTTATACGTATTCCTATTTGACAACCCATCCCCTGGGCCTGAAATAGTATCTAAGGTGCATAAATCAGCGGGGTTACTCATGACATTATTGGTTTTCCATATGGTATCACAAGCCATCCTATTTCATTACGTTAGGTAGAAAATAGGTGGTATACTGCAGATATCATGGTGATTAACGGGTGCAAGAAGAAAGAACGAAAGGTGCAACTCACAATCAGAAATACCAACCGAACCGAGACTGCTGTACACATATTGTGTCTATTTTCAAATACATCAGGCCCAAGAGAGCCGATACTTTTTTGGCAGAGTGTACAATAAAGGTATAGTGTGCTGTTCTGTAAAATTTTGTGGTTTTTTTATTTTTTTTTATTGGAACTTATCTTGGCTTCTATAATGGGAATCTACGGGAAACTGTGGTTTGATTTAAGAAAGATTTTCAGGAATGAAATACTTGGTAAATTGGGAAATATCTTTAAAGAATATTTATATTACCGTGGATAAAACCAATAAAAAAGAAAAGTTTTGCCAAAATATACTGTATTCTCTTAGATGGTAAGTAAATGATGGTTTGTCTCCAGCCATAATATTTAGTACTGTATGTCCCTTAATGTTGCCACCGTGGCCTGGCATATAGACACGTGTGGAAAAGGTACCACACATGCATACATATATATACATGTAAAGTGGACCAAAGGTTAAAGGCATTCAAATTTCCTGATCCACTAATATTTACATTTACAAAGAAAATTCTCACAATTAGATAATTTTGCTAGTTAATATAATTATTTTAAGTACTGTACAGTACAGAAATATCTCCGTTAGCTGGAACTCTTCAATGCCTGGAATTGAAATCGGCTTGTAATTTTACCGGGAAAGGACTCTCCTTTCTGGGTCTGTGAATCAGTTTCTGATGTTGAAAGTCAGGCACATTTTCTGAGAAAATAACAGAAAATCTCTCCAAATCTTTTTTTCCGGGTTTGGGAGCAAATTCCGAAGCTAAAATAAGGCTTACTTTCTGCGGAAAACGGCACGAATATCTTTCCAAACTTTTCTGCTCTGGCCCTTGGGACAAAGGTTCCCGGAGAATGATGAAAGATTGTATCAGGCTCCTGGGTCCCCAGTGCTGGGTGTGAAGACTGCTTAGATAATACTGCACATGGCTAATGCTGTCATGTGATCATGTGTGATGCCTGTGATAGGCTGATGCATCTCCCAGATTATCACGCCAAGGCTAGCATCAGGGCACGCTTAGTTCATTGTCCACATACAATTTGTGTTGTGCAGAACTGTATATTACTGCACCAGTACTCAATCAACCAAGAATACAGTGTTAAAGCAGTGTTAAGATGTAAACAGTGATTACATTCTGCAATTTTACTGTAATTTAACATTGTTTGTGTAAACACCGTACATACACTTCCACACATAGCAGTGGACAGTGTTTGTGTGTTGTACATTACATTACTGTACCAGGACACAATCGGCCAGGAATACAGTATTAAAGCAGTGTTAAGTTGTGTCACTCCTGATTTGCCTGTCCTTCATGGAGGGAGAGGACAGTGACAGCATCACCTGCCACAGCAGATGGTACAGGACAAAGCAGGCATTTCTATACAGTATCATCATATCACCATTTGGTCTGCCTGCATCATAAGTTTAAAGTGACAGCATCTGCTGGTGTGTTCTCTGTACATTTTATTTTGTTTATTTTTATGGTGTAATGGTTTTTGTTTACAGTATTTACAATATATTGTATGTATACAGTGGTGTTTGCGTAAATAAATACAATGCTGTGTCTGTCCGTGTTAGATGCGTATAGTAGTTTAGACTCTCAGAAAACATTCCCAGGATTGATGCATAGTTTAGAATGTTGAAAAACTTTCCCCAGAACTCAGAGACATTCCAGATATGTGCGATAGTGTCTGTCTGTGCAAGATACTTAATTCAGAATCTCGGAAACTTTTACCAGTAATTGGAAAAATTCTTAGGATATGTGATTTTTCCAGGTTTGAGAGAGTTGACTCGTTACCCGGAAGAGTTGTAGACCAATTGTTCCGACTAACGGGGATATCACTACTGTACATGTATTAACAAATCGGTTTCACATTACTATAATGTACTTTTATCATGTGGGTTATTTACATAAGAGGTTCAGTGGTGGCTGTACACCTGAGCTGTTCTAAATTCAGAAAACAGATTATCTGGTTTTAATATTATGATGAAAGTGCTTGTTTATATTTAGCTTGTTTTTTTTGTTTGTTTTTTTGAGAGGTGTTTATGATTGTATACCTGGTTTGATAAGCTCATTTTATGGGGAATGATACCCGGTAGTATTTGATGGTATTTTATTATTATTATTATTATTATTATTATTATATATATATATATATATATATATATATATATATATATATATATATATATATATATATATATATATATATATATATATATATATATATATATATATATATATATTTATATTTATATATTTATATAGTTTTCGTATAAATGAAGCTGTCATATTATGGTTACAGACAGATATTGAACAGTAAATTTAATTAAAAAAATACATTATTTATAATGTTCAATGGCTCTGCTTTGATGAAACCTGATATTTAAAGAAAGGTCAAAGAGGATTTTCTGAATTTATCTATAATTCCTGATATTTCGTACATGATAAATCATGTTGTAGAACACAACCATGGTATTGCATGGAGAGTCAAAGGTGACATAGTGGACTCTCACCAATGCATAGATCTGGTCATATAATATTCAAAGCTTCTAAATAGGTGCATTCTAGAAAAGAACTATGAAATATCGTATGCTACCTTATTTATTTTAAAGAATTACGGTAGACATTGTAAAGATATGCATTTTCTGAATTGCATATGCTATATTTTGCCCATGCTTTTATTTTTAGTTTTATAAATTTTTTCTTTGTTTTGCATGTTTATGTTTGTTCCCAGCCCTAACAATGTCCATTATTGCCTAGCTTCCACTGGTGTGACGTCTGCTGCTGCTACATCTGCACCAAATGTTCCGGTTCCTAGCAATGCCACTCCTGCTGCTCCTGCTGTTAATGGCCCGATCTCTGCTGCCCCATCCAATGCCCAACCCACAGTTAGTGGTGCCCCAGTCCAACAACCCTCAGTCCCAACTACCTCAGTTCATGCTACGCCGACACAGATAAACCCTACAGGCACTACCCATACCAATATGATCCCATCAATTCACCAAGGTCATACCCAGGTGACACCTACCAATGCTGCCCCTGTTAGTATGGTTCCCTCTAATCCACCCCAAATGGGCTCAGTCCATGCTGGCCCTCCCCAAGTGCCCCCAAGTAATGCAGCTGCTGGGAATTTGGCTCCTCCCCACCCACCCCAAATGAGCTCAGTTCATAGTGGACCTCCTCAAATGGCACCAAATAATCAAACCCCTGGAAATATGGTCCCTCCGCTCCCAGGTCATATGGGCACAGTCCATGGTGGTCCTCCCCAAATGGCCTCTGCTGGTACCCAACTAGGTAACATGGTACCCTCTCATCCTGCACCTTCCCAAGCAGTCCCTTCTCCTCAACCATCAACCCCTTCCTCTTAGTGTTTACATGCAACATGGAAGCCTAATTCTACCGGCAAAATGCTTGAGGGTTCTAGTGAAATTCCACATTTTGACCTGGAATTTGCAACAATTAAGATTGTTCACTACATATGTAGTAAGAAAATGAATAGGACAGAATGTTGTAGGTCCATTATGTATACTTTCAAGCAGTGTACCAGTGAATTAGGCTGAACTGCATGCCAGTGTGCTGGATTGATTTTTTGATTAGTCATGTTTTTAATCTTTTTCATTTCACTTTCGGACAAGTGTAGCAAATGGCGAGCTTGTATTTTTAAGGGGATAGACACTTTTCAAATTGTAAGCAGGGTAGCTTTTAACTCCCTAATTGGGTTTTAAATAAATTATCATACACCAAGTTATGTCATATCTGGAATAGAAGTTGTATTTGTGACTGAAAGACTGCCAAATTTCTCACCATTGGCTGCATTGAGAAAAAAGGTTTGGTTAATCTTATGGATGCAGGTTGTCAATAGACATTCCCAATGCTGTTATAGAGGACATCAGTTTTACAGTATGTATTTCAGTCTATTTTTATATTTTAAATTTTATCTTTGTGGTTGTCATGTGTATTATAAACAAACTGAAATACAGTATGTTGCTTTATTTGGACATGTCAGTTAGTTGACAGATAACTGTGAGGCTGGTTATTTAATGTTAAATTTAAAAGAGCATTTGTCAGTGACCCATTGAAGTAGGTGAAGCACCTAGAATATTTCCATTTTTGTAGTTTTAATATGAATAAGGTTTAGAAACTTAAGTTATGAAATGTATTTCATTATATAAATGCATTTTAATAAACCTTTTTTCTAATTAAGTTCTTCATTGTCTAAATGACAACAAACCCAGATCCATACACAGGTAATAATTAATTACTATTGTACAGTATAGTATCTCAAAAAAGTATCTGCCAAGATGGGTCCGATGACTTCCGAAATGCGACATGCAACTCGTGATGTTCCATGAGAGATGGTATGTGTGGCTCTATGGTATACTGATCCTACTTCATTTGGTAACTGAACATCATATTAATTACGCCTTAATAAATACACATTGCTCACTTATGTTAAACTCTACAAGGCAGGAATGTACATATTCCAATATCTATCATCCGTGGTCTCATAATGTTTCGCACAAGAGTGTGGACAGATACTTTTTTTGAGATACTGTTGTGATGTCCTTCCTTACTACCCATAGCATTGAGGAAAGGCAAGGTTGACAAGTAAAAATACAGAGTGAATAATCTAGGGGTTGAAATACGTGGATGCAGCAAGTAAGGAGCCCACACACAAGAATCACTGTTTTTGACAGACAAATTTAAGTGATGAAAGGAATAAGATGATTATCATGTAAACTAAGTAATTTAATAACATTTATATAAAGTATTGATTAAAGTTAGTTAATTAGGTACATTAAGTAACAAGTAAAATACAAAATATGCAATTATCAAAACAAAAGTGACAACTATGCATCTACCAAAACACATCACCCAATTATTCTACTTTAAACATTAAATACACCTATTATATACAACAACACAAAAACCTGATAGAAATGGCAGCTCAGGTAGCAAGTCTAGGTTGTGATGGCGAACCACAAGGAACCAGGGATTAACGCCGTAGTCCACTACCATCAAACCATCACGACACCATCAGCAGTAGTCCTTAATATAATTCGTCGTCCACACCCCAGGAGACGAGGAACACCGTAGGCTGCAGAGAAGAGACTTGGCTTACCAGGCAGACACACTTGCCTCAGTCTCATAGTCAGATGGGAAACTGGTTCTGAAACGGTGCTCACTGAGGTCGAGTAGATTAATGAAGCAGTTTCTTCTCTTGGTGTCAAGGTGGACCAAGTGATGGTTATGGTGGTACAGTGAGGAAGGGACAGTCTTCACACTGTACATATATGTAATTGTAAATAATTCTCTATAATAAGTATTAGAATATTAAGTATTATATATTCTTATAATCCTGGTTATTCCGACGAACAAACAAAATAAATATTCTTATGCCGAGGCATAATTTGGTCTAATAGTTTTTGTGAACTAGGTGTTTTAATTATTTTCTATTTCAAGCAGCAGTAATTTTGGTGGAGTCCCCCCCTCCCCCCCGGTTAGGAGGTTAGGTTAGGTAATTTGCGAGGGAAAACGTCATAGAAGAAAAGTGCCTTGAAATTGTCTAAACTATCGGAAAAACACATTACTCAATTCGAGAGCCGTGGTTGGTCGAAACTACAAATTGACCAAACACAATTATAGGCCTAATTTATAGTTCAGAAGATAATTAAAATTAAGCCTAAGGCCACTACACACGCTAAAATTTTCACTCCAGATTAACTGGGCAGATCAAAACTGTACAGTTAATCCGGAGCGATATCTGTCGGTGACAGAAAAGTTAACTGTCTGTACTGATTTGAACTGTGCAGTTAAACTGGAGCATGTGGAGGCATTTCCAAAAATTTGCTCAGTCTACATGTAATGTCTGTGTCGGCAGGAAATCGGACATGCGGAACTACTCGAGAGTTTGTAGTAGAATTTATTGAGTTTTATCGAAGCCATGAATGTCTATGGAAAATTAAAAGCAAAAGCTACAATGACAGAAATAAGAAAACATCAGCTTACAAAAAACTTGTTGAAAAGGCATAAGAAATGGATCAGGTGGCAGAGCGAGATCCAATCGTGAAGAAAAGAACAACCTGGGAAGTGCATACTGGGAAGAATTGAAGAAACAGTCAGAATCAAAGAAGTCTGGGGCAGGTACTGACAACATCTATACTCCTCGGCTATGGTATTTCAACCTACTGAACTATTTATTGGACCAAGAGACTGTGTGCATCAACTTCTAACTTCGACAACTTTGAAAATCAGGAGCCTGAAGTAAGCTAAACATTTTGTTGACTATCTACTGTTTTAATCATTGATAATAATAACAATACATCACATTATATGTAAATGTGTAGGTAGCTAGCAAATTCATAACTTGTGTCTTCCCACTCAACACACACAAACTTACATAGCCAAGCAAGCAAAAGAATATGCAAATAATTGTCACAGAAACAGAACATCCACCACAGCATAATACAGAAAATGTTCTATACAGTATACTAACTCAAGATATCCGAGGCTCTGTCTGCATTCTGGTGCCATTCCATTCTCCCTTCCTTGTTGAAGTAATTATAAAATGCTTCTCGAATCTGAGTTGCATCTCCAGAATCCCGGCTGTGACTTTGATTCAGATCAAATAAATTACTTTAATGTGTTCTTACACCCAGAGAATTTGTACCAGTGGCGAAGAGGATAAAAGTAAAAATTATCGTCTTCTTGATCCAAACAGTCTGGTGGTGTGTAATGATTAGGAGTACCGGTAGTTTTTCATAAGGAATTATGCAAGATGCAGCATGCAATAACAACACTGGTAATGTTAGATGGTTGCAAGTTTATTTTTGTATGAAAAATTCTGAATCGTGCTGCCAGTATGCCAAATATGTTTTCAACAACTGTACGAGCTGTAGATAGCCTATATTGTACAGTAATTAAATACTCTGTGCTCGTCGGTCACGTCTCTTAGGCTAAATGGTTTGATAAGATCCTAATGTAGAGCAAAAGCTTCTCCACTAATGAATACAAACGGAAGCTCAATATCAGTATTATCAATTTTTTTCAGCCGGTGGAATATTTAAGCTACAGTAGTCAAGTTTATCATTGAATTCGGTATAATCTAATACTCCACCATCAGAAACACCCATTTATGCCAAAATCACACAAAATAAATTCGTAATTTGCATTTGCCATTGCCATGATACCCTTTGTAATTATAATAGAAGGAGCCGCTTCCAGTTGGCAGAGTGACCTGCATGTTTCCCAGACAGTCCGGAAAGTTCCATTTCTCATCAAATTGTTTGGCAATGTATTTCCATTCTTGCTCAGATGTAGGGGACTGAAATAAGAGATATATAATGCATGAATATTTGAAATATAACCATTACAGATAGTAATATGCAAAGTCGTGTGTGGTGTAATGCACTGCTTGCTTCCTTTCGCTTTCAGCTACCGCCGTTGGCTAGCCCTCGTGGCAAACAGAAGCAACTCGCATAAGTCTTCCCCTGCCAGTACACAGCCTCTTTACCATCAAGACTCCTGCTGTGCCTCCCCGTGGCAACACACGGTAACTGGGTGCCTAGTGAATCAACCTATAGGCACATATACTTATTTTACAATACACAAGGCACCAGCTGGTCACTTAGTTCCTGACTCCCCCGCTTGGCTGCTTGATGCGCTGCGTATACCCATGGAGAAACCTAATTAGTCAGATAGGCATGAAGGATGGGGTACTATGGGGAGAGACAGCCTGTCAACAAGGAAGAGACCTTTACCTTTGACCCGAGTGACCACTGCCCGTGACCCCACTTGGACTTACCTAATCTTAGTTAATTCCCAAGTGACCCACTGCCAAGTGACTCACACAAGTTAAAATGTTTATATTGTTGACTATTTATACTTATTGGGCTGATACATTTTCATAGTTACTTATTCTTAGGTGATGAAACAGTAACGAATTCTGTCTCACGATTGTTCCTTTATTAATAAATAATGGTTGCCCCTCGTGTAACGAGGATGCCCGGTCCAAGGGCCACCTAGGTGTGAATTTATTTAAGGTGTAGAAGCTGTTGCCAACACAACAACCACACTGAGTTAATGAGTTGCGTGTCAAGGAATAGTCCAAGAAGACCGGACAACTCGCCAACTGCACTGGCTAACCATTCCCGGAATACGATCCGCAAATCGATTAACATCCAGGTTCCCAATTACTGCTGGGTAGACAGAGGCAAATGGCTTAGAGAAACTTGCCCATAGTTTCACCCTGCCTAGGGATCAAACCCGGGATCGCTCACTTGCGAGGTGAGCATGCTGATCATTACACCACATAAGCTGGCTGCATCTACCTGAACTATGGGCCACATTAAATAGAATTTCTCAATCACTCCACAGGCTGCACAAAGAAATGGTTCGGGCCCCAGGCTGCGGGTTGCCCATGCCTGCACAATGCAATGGTATGCATCTCGTAATGGAACCCTATAGAATTCATAGTTAACTTTATGCATTTGCAACATGCAACGAATATGCCTCTGAAGATGTCTTGAATAAAGACGAAAGCTAAGGTGCTCCGTTGTTTCCCTTTTCCCGTGTGATTTTATCAAGATCTGGCATTTAATGCATTTTTTTGTATCCGACATGAATACCTGGTAGAAAATAATGTATACAGAATATTTTAAGTATTACAAGAGGTATCCAGAACCCAAAACATGCTTTTACAGTTTCAGTGCAACTACTTATTGAAAACTGCACATCATATCCAATTTTTTATAGTGGTGTTATGAATGCCCAAACCTGTTTATCTTAAGAATTCTATTTTTGTTAAATTTGCTTATTTGGGGCTTGGGCCAGATTTTCTGGGTTTAGGACCACTGTGCAACACAGTGTGATGCAAAATGCCTCTTTTCTTGGAGGAAAGTGCCCAGTGGATGTGTGCTGTCTTGCTGCTTCCATAGAAAATGGTCCGTATCGCAAAACCCAAGTAATGATCATTTGAAAATTATTTCCACCCTCTACTATAAATTGACCATTTTTTTTTTTTTTTTTACAGGATTAACCCACCAGAGCACAGGTCAATGACCCACATCAGAGCCTGGGGGCGAAAATGTAATAGTAATAAAGGACTATAAATAAACTTTTTACTTTACTTTTATCCTCTTCACCACTGATCGGCTCATTAGCCACTTGGGCGATCAGTCACGTCTCTGTTATGCACTGTTGGCAAGTACTGGGCATGCACTGGTTCCTGAATGTATCTGAACCTGCACCAGTGCTTGTCAAGTCTGGTCTTGAAAGAGCTCACACTCGGTGCCATCACAACACACTGGCAGATTGTTCCAAGAGTTCACAACTTTCACTCCAAAAAAGTTACCCCTCACAGTTTTCTGGGCTTGCTGCTTCTTCAACCTTGAGCTGTGACCCCTTGTGGGGAGAGCATCTGCCAGCTCCAGGTAAGGACACTTGACTGAGTAGTGCCCTTTGAGATGTTTATACACCTCAATTAGGTCTCCCCTTGCCCGTCTGTAGTGTAACACTCGCCTTGCCCGCGGTGCCCACCATCTCTGTGTGGATGTCGGTCACACTAGAATAACCCGTTATAGTACATCCTGCTTTCCTCACACAGCCAAACTGTGGAATGCTCTGCCTTCTTCTGTGTTTCCATACTCATACAATCTATCTCACTTCAAAAAGCTGGTTTTCCAGCATCTTCTTGGTGTAGATTAATATAATCGTTTTCTTTTCTATTTTTAATTTCTTTTTACTCTTATTTTTTTCACTCCCTATAAAGACCTGTGCCCAGGTGGGCCATTCCCTGTATTAAAAAAAAAAAAATTGCAGGCACTCTAATCTCTCTGGGTAGCTGAGGTGCTTAACTGCAGGCACCAGCCTGATGGTGCTCCTTTGGACATTTTCAATCTACTGACAGTCCCTAGCATATCTCGCGGACCAGATGGGGGTGACAGTACTCCAGGCGGGGAAGCAACTCACTCTTGAAGATTGTTACGATATCTGAACGACCTTCTTATACAGTAAGACCTTATAATTTAGTTGCCTGATAACACCTTCTTTCACAATGGCCCGAGAACTTCAGCTCACTGTCTACATACACAGCTAGGTCCTTTTCACATTCAGTCTCAATTAATGCAGTCCCTTCGTCCCATTAGGACATGATATGCCTCCTTACCGTTGGTACGTCCCAGGTGCAGCCTCTTACACTTCGTGACATCAAATCTTAGCAGCCATTTCTTTAACCATTCTTGAAGCCAGTGCTGGATTTAGACCTGTGGAGGCCCATTGGCAGCCTCTTTGTGGAGGCCCCCCTCATTATAACTACCCAAGAGGGTGGGGGGGCGAGTGAAGTGAGCCTAAACATCTGGGAGTTCCAAGGGGCGCTGTAAGCCCCCCAGGAAAATTTTGAAATTTGAGCACTTCTTTGGAGAATTTTGAAGCCATATGCAGTTATATTGAGGAAATTAGAACATTGAGAAATATTTAATTAACTGTATATTTATTGATAGTGTACAAATTCCCAACACACACACACACACACAAAAGTGATAGATAAACTTGAATTTTAAAGAATGAAAATAAAAATAATCCAAATGAATAAACAAATAAATAAAATATTGTAATATGTGGAGGCCCCTGGGCAGCTGCCCACTTTGCCCACTCCTGAATCCGGCCCTGCTTGAAGCTCACAGAGGTCTTTCTGCAACACTTCGCAGCCTGCTTGGTTCTTAATTTCCCTAAATAACTTGGCATCATCTGCAAACATTTGTATCGGAATGTACAGCTCCTGGCATGTCATTTATAAAGCAAACAAACAACAGCGGGCCCAATACACTACCCTGTGGTACCCCGCTTGTCATAGGTATACGTGGTAATTTCATGCCATTAATCACGACACGCTGCTTGCGATCAGGGAGGAAGTCTCCGACCAACGCTAGGACACTTCCCTGAATCCCGTACCCTTCCAGTTTAATTTTCAGCCTTTCGTGGGGTACGCTGTCGAAAGCCTTGGCAAAATGCTGGGACGGCATAAATCCGTGTTGGCAATCCTTTACAAGGCTGTTTTGTAGTAGACGTTCCATCATGGCAGCTCTTATAATGCTCTCAAGTACTTTATATATTATGCTGGTCAGGCTCACTGGTCTATAATTATTCGTGGAGTGACGATCGCCCTTCTTGAAAATAGGACTCGCATTAGCAATTTTAAAGAGTGGAATGTTATCTGTACTAAATGCATAAATTAAAGCCTCATATAACTAAATGAACAGTCAACATTGACAGAAATAGGTGTACGACTTACTTCTCCTTATCTTTCGGAAATCGAAAGAAAGGAGTTCCCAGAGCAATTGCTTTCTGCACTGCCTGCACCGTACCAGGGCCCCATTGGAACTTCTATAAAGAAATGCACACAACAAAAGAAAATTGTGATTTTGACGAATTTTTCCTCCTCCCTTTATTCCATGCTTGGTAATTATTTAGTTTGCTTGTACAGTATATCGTGGCACAAGGCGCCCACACACTATCATATATGTTTTGTCAAACATGATGTTTGATCATGCATCATACATCGCCACACTTTACAACTTGAATGAGCAAACTTCAGTTGGCGTCTGGTACCCGCTGCCTCAACACTGGGTGACAGCATGAGTAAGGAGGCAGCCTGTATTGCTATTATACTTGCTCTTGAAACAGAGACTTTAAAGAAAAAACGAAAAAGAAAATTATGGGTGAAGGAATGGCACAGAGAAAGACCCAAATTGTCTTACGACTCCTTATTAAAGGAGCTAGTGGTGTCACCTCCAAGATTATAAGAACTTTTTGAGAATGGATAATGTAACTTTCGTTGGACTGTTGGAGAAAGTATGGCCATAAAAAAAAGAGGACTATCTTGAGAGATACCATACCAGCAAGTCAGACTCTAGTACACTGCAGTTCCTAGCATTACCACACACTATCCAACATGTTTGACATACGTCATGTTGGACGAGAAAATATCAAACTTGTTGGTCATACCTTCAAACTTGACAACACACTTTCAAATTGTATGATCGAATACCATGCTTGACAAACATATTTGATAGTGTGTGGGCGCCTTCACTCTTGATTTTTTTTATTGTTCTACATTATAATTATTATTATTATTATATTTTATATTTTTTTAAATTTTATAATTAAATTTTTTATTAATTACTATTATTATTATTAAAATATTTTTGCCCCCAGGCCCCGATGTGGGTCTGTGGGGTTCAGGATGTTTGGTTCACACTCAGGATGGGATGGAGAAAGGAAACTCACAATGTGCTCTCTGTATACATGTTGTATTGGATGTACAATGCAGCTTGGTGCTGGGAAGGCAGCATGGTTACAAGCGTGATGTAGAGAGAGCTGGTTGGTGAGGGTGCTCAGAGGAGGACCAGCCTGTGGGTCGCCATGCCCGCCGGCGGGAGCGAGGGCCGCCAGGCAGCGGCGGAGGAGGAGGAGGTGTTGCTGGCTGGTTGGTGTAGGTAGAAAGAGACAGGTCACCACGAGGTCAGGTCTTAAATAGCGAGGGGTAGGCGTGGCTTAGTAGTTGACCCCCGCTCCGTGATGTATGGCGGCGCTGGTTGACCTAGACCACGAGGCACACACTGTGGAATTCGTGGGGTCGGCTACGCAGCGACAAACAGCGTTTGTAGGGGAGAAATCCACTACAGGTCAATGACTTGTGCCCTGGTGGGCTAATCCCGTAAGAAAAAAATATCTATCCTTCTCTAGTACAGTATATAGAGAATCCTTCCCTTGTCCCCAGTGTTGTGCCTTCAGATGTGATATAGAAATAAATGGACCCCTTTCATTTCTTGATATGTTTATCATGAGAAATGAATACAACTATAAATTCAAGGTGTACAGAAAGACGAGACAGGTAGACAGTTTTATACAGTTCTTAAAGAACTGAGAAGAATTTATACAAATTGGGTGACCTTATATAGTTTATAGTCAGGTGAATAACATGAGACCCATTATTTACCTTCCCTACCATGTTGAAACACTGCTTATTTCCAGTGGTACGTGAGCAATAAAACGTAATATTTAAAATATTTAACAAATAAGGTAACGCGATAACTCTCAGTAATATGTCAAAGGTTCGAGCCTCGTTTGGACACACGTGAGAAGAGTGTTGTCCAGTGTGACCCTCACTACCAAACACCACAGGTTCCCGGTTCCCGGTTTCCTCCTGTACTAACACTGGATAGACCGCCGAAACGGCTAGTAAGCTGATAAGTGGCGAATATGATTACAACATGGGAAGAATTTACTAGATACTACTATTAGTTCAATGATGGTGCATTTAATTACTAATTATATTTTAACAATTAAAACATAAACAACAGATGAATTATGTACAGTTGTAAAAAAAACTCTGATTATGTTTAATACAACTGTCAGCCCGTGGTGGTGATTGGTCGGCTGGTGTCACGTGACCCGCCATCACAACAAGGGCTGCCATGTGTGTTTGTTGACATATAATTGTGGGTGTTGCACATTTATCTCACTTCCTCTCGCTTTGTAAATCTTCCCAAGTTGATTTTTATATATTCTAGGTGTTTAGTAATGCTATAGTCTGACTTGGGGGGGAGGTGTGTAGTCAGTAGGGTGGAGTTTGTGTCAGTAAGGAGGTTGAGTGAGAGAGGTGCGGTAATTTACTGTAGTAGGACAGGGTTTTTGTGCCTCTGGTGCTTGATTGTTAATTATGTATAATACCTGTACACTAGTTACCTATATTACATTCGGTATACTTGTTGTATGTTGTATTATTGTATTTACAGATATCTCAGCGCAACAGTTTAATCTTCACTTGTAGCTCTGGGCAGTAGACATACATATCCTACCACACAACACCACACATCATCCTACCACTGGTTATAGGCATGGCCGGACTTATTTTCTTTCATAAGTGAGCAGATCTCTTATATCTTTGCACCTTGATAATGAAGATCTGTATCATTATTTATGTCCGTCATGGGATATATAATGTCATATGCACATCTTTTTGAACAGGTAGAGTGAGCCATCCAAACCTAGCCCAGCCTAACCTTAGCTTAATTAACTAAATTGTATTGGAATATAATTTGGTTTTGTTGTTTTAAATGATAAATTGTTTGTGCAGTTTTCATAAAAATATGAGAATTGGTAAATACAAACTTGAAATCATTATGTGATTAAACATCAGCACAATTAGACTTCAATTTTAGGCATTTGTGAAAAAAACATATCGTGGGACTAATTGAACCACAGTACTTATCATCATAATTACATCCATATCAGCTGTAAGTTTAGCTAAGTACGGTATATTGACTAGACGGACTTATTTATCAAAAGAATTAATGGCCATTTATTTACATTTTTCAAAGTAACCTGACAGTTAATGTTAGGGGGAGCAAAAATATATAAATTTTAACACATCAGAAAACGAATTTGGAGTCACAATACGTCTATGATAAATCTCAGTTGGGAAAGACTGAGCATGATGAAGTATTGCAGTTTATCCATACAGTAAGGAGACAACTTGAACTAAGTAACCTCTCCCAACAAATTCCATTTTTTTAGGTTAGGATTTTTGGTTTTGGTGTAGGATTTGGACTCAAGTTTGAAGATAAGATTAAAGTTTTGAGCTAGAAGCCTGCCTTGTATTTAGAGTTTACAGTGCTGTTGCCTTTAGTGTGCAAATATTAGTCGACCATTTTATCGCTCAGTTCATCGGTAAACTCTATACTGTAGTAGTATGGCACTGTATACATAAGTCGTTCATAACTCACTGGACTATCAGTTTGTTCTTAGAGTTCACTGATGACACCCAAAAAATTTAATTTATTTAAAAACAAATTAATGGAGCCACTTTGCTTGAAATTGAATTACAGATAATTCTTAAGTTAGTGATGTCATGAGAATATCATGGCTCTTTTATACCTACATCAGGATGTCTTACATTTTGATGCCATAGGTATTTTGCATGTAATTGTAATTAAAGCTTCATTCATATTCTTCAATATTGATCGTTGAACATTTCATCTCATCGGAGATTTAGAATGTCATTCTCTTCTCTTCTTTGTCATGGTTGTTAACTCTGTATGTTACACACAGGCAATCCTTGATTTTTTAGCATCCGGCAAATGAATTCAGTATCCGTTCATACGGGCTTTATACTTTTTGACCATGTTTCAGCTTTCAAACATTCATTCCACTCATACAAACTCAGCCATTTTTAACATAATCATCATTGATCAGTGAAATGCAGGAATTCTGTACATGAATGTGGGAAAACATATCAGCAGCTTTGTTTTTTACAGGTGCTGTACCAATATCAGTGTTTTTAATATCAATTAAATCATTTATGTTAATATAATTGTCTTTATTAATGTTTTTACAGTATTTAGAAAATGTGGTTTTTACTTGCTGAGGACCAATTAATTATTTATACAATACCATTGTTTCAATGGGATTATTGATCTGGTTTATAAACACATTTTCAGGAACACATAAGCTTGTAAATCAAGGACTACCTTTATATATCTTTTCATGAAATGAGCTCCATAATTATCAAGTACAGTATGTGTATTTTTAGTACTGTATCAAAACACTGTACTGTACAGGTATCCCTTGCTGAAAGAATGGGTTAGGTTCCTGGAAAACCATTCGTTAATTGAATTTTCATAAAGTATCTCAAATAACAACAAATGGAAAAAGTAGGGTTCAGTTCCCCAACAAAAGAAAACCACCAATACAATAACCCAAAATCATTAAATCAGTTGATGAACAATAAACAACCTACTTAACTAATAAAAAATAGTACCCATCTACAGTCACCTCTCAATTTACACGGATTTAGGTTGCACATATTTTAAATAATACTAGGAGTAAATGAATACCTATTGTTAAAATAACACAATTTTTTTTAAACAGCACGGGTTTGAAAAGAGTGCCATTGCGCCAGGCAGCGTAGTTCATTACCTCATTGCTTTCCTACTTTACGAAAAATTCAAAAGTACGGTAGCATCACCTGCTCTGTCATCTGATTCAGATGACTCCCTTCCCCAGTACCCCCCACCTCTGCTCCACCACTACCAGTTCCCACACGCTTTGAAGAACCAAATTAGATTTTTATTTGAATTGGCAAATTTGGGATTTGGCATGTCTTGGTCAACCACCTCAGGTGCCATCACTGGCACATTTACCTAAGGTTGCCAACCCTTGCTCTACAGTATCTATTGTCACAATGTGGAGTGCCAGGGACAACAGTGCAGGTCCTCTTCATTTAACAATGGTTTTGTGTTCCTGAAAACCTATCGTTAAGCAAAAGGAGGGATAACAAGGAATAATATCCGTGGAGATGCCAATAAGTCTGGACTTTGGCAGTTTCTGTTTATAAAAAACTGACAACTAATACTGATTAATTTTCCTGTTATATATATTTGCACGTATGTATAACAGTATCAAAATGATGTTATCATAGAAAATCAGGAATATATGTGGTTGAGGGACTGGGCACTATTGGAGGGAAGCCCTGGGAGGGCTGTCTAAGGAATGGGGCCCCTCAGAAGCTAGAGTTGGCCTTGGCCCCAAAGAAGTTGTATTTTATTAAGAGAATAGTCTACTTATGGGCTCTGCTAAAATTGACATTTCAAGATCATATTTTTTAATGCTATGCAATCTTTTGCAGAGACAATGTGACCTATTGCTGAGAATCACATGCAGCGATCTTTTACTCTTTGAGGAAGGTCTCTTATTGGAGGCTTCTGAAGATGCCTAAAGCAGAAGAGGATCTGTAAGTGCTGTACACTGCCTGTAATTGTGTTTTATTGGTTTCAAGTATGTACAGTGATAGCAAATATTGTAGAACACTGAGCACTGAAATAACCTATTACTGTAGTTGGTTATTGCATTTATCTTGTCCTGTCTTGTTAATGGTAAATCCAAAGTAATCTGGACTAGCTGGGAGAAGGTCTATGTGAAGTATTTCCAAGGGCATGTACTGTATACATTTATAGTCATATTTACAAACATTTGCAATATTTTGTTGTATCAGTGTTGCACCAAGTATAAAAAACGAATAGAAATCCATTAACATAACTTGATAATAGATGAGAACTTCAAATCTTTTAGCTGACCTGTTTCACCCTCTAGGGCTATTTTGAAACTAAGTACTGTTTCCACTTCCACAGCATTTTTTCATCGACTGAAGAAACAAGAATACACCTAATAGGTTGTTCTAAACTAAAGAACAAAAATAAAATAATTGTGACTGCCTTCACTAGATACAATTTCTTAACACCAGTACAAGGGTAGGCAGGTCGTCTTTCATTACTTCAGGGAGTTGAGATCCTGCCTTGCTAACTGTTCCCACCTGTGGGTTGGCAATAAGATGGGCATCCAGTCATAAAACTTTGCCCCAACATACCTAATGGCAACCTGGACACCAGAGCTGTATTCTTCCCCTGGTCCCTGCAGCAATTTTGTATGGGCTGGTGCACTGCCTGTACAGAGGGTACTGGCACTTCCACTTGACAGTATTGGAGCCCAAACTCAAGGTTTTTTTTTTTTTTACGGGGATTAGTCCCACCCGGGCACAGGTCATTGACCCACATCAGCGCCTGGGGGGCGAAAATATTATAATAATAATAATAATAATAATAATAACTATTATTATTATTATAATAATTCATAAAGATTAATAACAAAATACTAAAGATACAAATAAAATACTAAAAATAATAATAATAACCATAAATACTGTAAATACAAAAACAAAAAAATAAATCAAGAATGAGAAACGATTTTTTTTTTTACGGGGATTAGCCCACCTGGGCACAGGTCACTGACCCACATCAGGGCCTGGGAGGCGAAAATGTAATAATAATAATAATAATAATTCATAGTAAATAAAATTTATAATAAAAAGTCATGGTGGGTCACCCTGAGGTCACTGGACTGCTTTTACTGGCATCAGTTTTGCAAGATGCCAGTATTGTACCTGGATTTGTAGGGGTGTGGGGAGGGGGTGTATCCTGTTCTGGTTGTTGGAAGCATGCCTCAGTTCAGCTCATCCCGAAGAAGGGTGACCATTCGAATCCCTCTAACTATCGCCCCATTGCCTTAACTTCATCCCTCTATAAGATTTTTGAAACTCTTAAACTCTCATTTTCTCTGTCACCTTGAAAGCCTTTCTCTTTGGTCGGATCACCAATATGGCTTTTGCCAGGCGAGATCTACTGGTGATCTGCTCTCTTACTGTACCCAGCATTGGTCATCCTCTCTTAGGGATTATGGGGAAACTTTCGTCATGGCCCTCGACATCTCCAAAGCATTTGACAGGGTATGGTACAAGTCTCTGCTTTCTAAACTTCCCTCTTATGGTGTCTCCTACTTTGTTCTCTAATTTCTAGCTTCCTCGAGAACTGATCCATGGCAGTTGTTGTCGAGGGATCGATATCTCGCTCTTTCTCTACCAAAAGTGGTGTCCCACAGGGTTCTGTTCTTTTACCTACTCTCTTCCTTCTCTTTATCATTGATTTACTTCACACTACGACTAATTCTATCCATTCTTACGCTGATGATTCTACTCTTCACTTTTCTTCACATTTTTCCCTTCCCCTAATCCTCAAACTAGATCTGTTTCTAGAGCTGATATCATCTCATCTATCAATGTGGATCAGTGCAGCATCTCCGATTGGGGAGGCAGAAACTTGGTTAAATTCAATCTTAATGAAACACAGGACAGTGGACCCTCCATTAACGAGCGGTTCAATTTACGAGATTTCAGTTAACGAGTTGCCTCCAGTAAGGACTTTCAGTTCTATTAACGAGTACAAATTCTATTAATGGCGGGACCACTTTATTTACCAATTACACTTTCCAAATTAGATGATCTCCCACCAATCTCATTTCAGGGTGCAATCATTCTGTCAAATTCTAAAATAGATATGCTAGGCCTCACCATTTCCTCTCATATGTCATGGAAGCCACACATCCACAACATTGCTAAAGCTGCCTCCCGAGCAGTTGCTTCAAGTTTATAAGGGATTCATTCATCCTAACTTGGAGTACTGCTCTCATATCTTTAGGTACATTGATTTACCATGTTTATGTGATACAGTACTGTAATAGACAAAGGCAAATGGCAGTGAAAACTTCTCATGCTTGTGGCTGTTACCCCAAATTTATAAGACATAACAAAGGGGTTAAACATATGTACATTGGATATATTGGTAGTGAGAAAATACACGTTAATAAGAGTATCTGGATATGTTTGTATGATCAAATGATTTTGTAGAATATTATGGAATTTCTCTCTCCATTATATGTATAGCTTATACTTGGTGTGAACCTGAACACAAGGGGTAGTAGACTGATTTTCTGGAAACTTACCAGGGATATTGATCTTTCCAGCAGCCCAAATGACTTGATAATTTGATGCCATAATTTTAACCTGAATGTTGATGTGTTTCAGGAAAATATCTTTTGTTTAACAAAAGTTCAGCACAAACAAGTCTTTACTGTATTACTATACTTCATAAGTGGTATTGTTATATTTTCTACTACATACCTTTCATTTCTGTGGATTTGGTTATAAATACTACTGTATAGTATTTAATACCCATTCTCATGTTCCAGGCTCTTCTGTGGAGGCAAACTCATTGTGCTGAAAATATTGTTTTAATGGTTAATTAATGTGTTTACCATTGACAAAGAAAACTGCCAAATTCACTTGCAGCAAAGTTGAAATTATTCCTTTGAAGCATTGCCAAGGAACTGTTGTACTGTAGTACTGTATAGTGTTTCATATTTTTAGAAAAAGAGTAAAGTATTTAGTGTACATATATATTTATGGAACATTAGTTGAAAGAAATTTAATATTATTATATGTGACTCCCCCATTTTGATACCATTTAGCATTTTAAAAACCTCACCTGAATCACAAACATGTAAAAATAAGATAATTATTGTGTCAGCAAACTTTGATAAGGAAATGTATTTGTTTAGTTAACGGATCATGAAATCTGTTGAAAGGAAACAGAAAGTGCTTCATTTTAACACCCTGTGAATAACAAAATGGAGAATTTGGATATGAATAATGCACCGGAAAAGTTTGTTATCAAACAGTTCCTTAACATGCATGTAATTCTGCATAATGGTAGTGAGTATTTTCAGTGTGGGGATTGTGGTGAATTAATTGCAGAAAAAGATAATTTGCAGGCACATATGCTCTTGCACACTAGTGAGAAAAAGAACGTGTGCAACTCATGTGGGAAGCAGTTCACACGTAAAAGTGACTTAAGTAGACACCATCTGATACACAGCGGTGAGAAGAAATGTAAGTGTAATGAATGTGGAAAGCTGTTTACCCGCACTAGTGATTTAAACAGACACATACTAATGCATAGTGGTGAAAAGAAGCATTTATGTAATGAGTGTGGCAAACGATTTACCCGCAAAAGTGACCTCAACAGACACATTCTTGTACATAACAGTGATAAAAGATGTGAATGTGAAGAATGCGGTAAATTTTTTAGTCAGGAGGATAGCCTGAAAATACACATGCTCGTGCATACAGAAACAAAGACATTTCAGTGTGAGGAGTGTGGTGAACTGTTCAGAGATAGCAGTAGTCTAAAAGTACATAAGTTTTTGCACACTGGGGAGAAGCCACATAAGTGCAGCGAGTGTGAAAAACAGTTCACACGTAAAAGCGATCTAAATAGACATTCGCTGGTGCACAGTGGTGAGAAAAAATTTAAATGCAATGAGTGTGATAAGCAGTTTATCTTTAAAAATGAACTTAATAGCCACATGCTTGTGCATTGTGCTGAAAGAGAATACAAGTGTGAAGAGTGTAGTAAACGTTTCGTTTGTAACTCCAAGTTGAAAAGGCACATGCTCGTACACACTGGGGAGCGAAACTACAAATGTGATTTATGTGAGAAACGATTCAATTGCAATTCAAAACTCAAGAGACACATGTTGATCCACAGTGGAGAGAAGAACTATAAATGTGAAGAGTGCGGCAAACGATTTAGTTGTAATTCCAAGCTGAAGAGACATGTGTTTGTGCACAGAGGTGACAAACCTTACAAGGCAAGGGGAAAGAAATTTTGTGATAACTTTTCTCCTAACTGTTCATTCATAATGCCAGAAACAGTTAATGAAGTATTTGTCATGCCAGAAACAATTAATTCTGAAGTTTTTGTAAAGAAAGAGAAATTAGATGACTGTGTATTTGTGAATAAAATGGAGTTTCATTAGGTATAGTACCAGTTGCTTGCAAAAAAAAAAATAATGGAAATACTGTACAGTACCGAATGAGGATGTTTGAAAAGTAAAGGCAGTTCAGAGATGAAACACTTGACCAGAAGATCATTAACTTTAGATTTCATCATTTGTGAACGTTGTACCCCTTGTGTTGCAACACAGTCTTGCAACTTTAATGTTTTTGATATTGTTGTGATAGAAGCTCTTTAGTTGCTATGTAAGCCACAGTTTCATCACTGTTGGACCTTGTGATCTATAACAAATATCTCCCTCAGTGTACAGTAGATTTCAGCCTCATATATTACTCACATTTTTAATCTCTCTAAAGGAGAATGTCTGTGCTTGAAGATTTGTCATTGATTACAAGGTCTAAGCAGCAGTGCATTTTGGCTTACATGCAAACTAAAAGATTTAGACCAAGACAGCATTGCAAAAATTGTCAGTCATTAGAAGGTACATGTTGCTGAACACGGGACAATATTGTGAAGTGCTGCAGCCCTACGAAGGATACATGGTCACTTGCTGATTGTAATTATGAATAATCTTTACTTTCAGAGACATCCTTTTCCAGTACAGTACTATATATTGTTTTATGTGTAGTAAGTCTAAAGATGTATGAGTATAATAATTTACACCCTAGTACAGTAGTGACTAATAGCAGAAACAAAATATAATGAGTGAGAATGGCAGATTATTCTTTTGAGTACAGGTATTTATGTGATCAGAGGAATTTATTATAAAGGGTGTACTGTACAAGTCAAAGGTATGAGGAAGTGTGAGTGAAGTGTTCCTTGCTACTTATTGTTTCAGCCCTTACTCTCACTTTCTATACTTCTTGCACCTTTGTCCTTGCCATTTTCTCCTTCCATCAAGGTTTGTGTTTCCTTGATGTACTTATGGAAGCAGAGGCAGGATAATAGGATAGAAAATAGCAAGATACAATACTGTACAGTATTCTGAAATATTGATGAATCTACTCTGGTACAATGTAATTTACTTCATGGAAATTACCTAAATTCCTCTATGGTTTACTTATTAGAATAGTATTTATTTTAATGTTAATATACTGGTATGAAGTATTTTTACAAAAATAACATTTAACTGGTTTTAAAGGAGGACATACTGTATGCTGAAAGTTTTACTTCTACCAAAAGCTTTTTTTTTTTCCATTATACTGTATACGGACCATCCCATATACAGTACTGTACTGTAGTGGAAAACATTGCATGGAATCTCAGAAGGCACAAGTTATTACAAGTCCTTCATTGGTGTAAGGTCAGTTCCTTATATAGTTGAATCTTCTTTTACCCTCAAACTTAATTGTGAATTGAGTCATGAATCATTGGAGACTTCATGAATACATCTTCGATGATGGCTATGACTTTATTTGATTATGTTTTTAGATGTGTCATTGATATTTAACCATGAAGTGCCTTTGGTGTCAGAAACTACTGTTGTTTAGGGACATAGCAAACATATTACTGTGGACTGTAAGCTGAGAACATCAGAATTTTAGCAGTTATTGGGGTCATTACAAGTTACTGTGGACAGTAAACAGATAAATGTATCATAATCATTTACCATAAATCTAGTGAACTTGATAATCTGTCAAAGACTAACTCCAGTACTAATTATTTTCCAGGAAGAGAAATTTAAGCTTGGGCATTTGACATTTCTTCATCTCTAGCAGCACACTGCAGTAGCTACTCATTGTAGATATCACACTTGCCCAACTTCCTTCTGTTCATCACATATTATCTCCAAGCAACACACTATATTCCTCCCTGAAATTCCCCTTCCTTTAAAGAATGGCAACTTCTAGCATGTTTTTCAATTTTTCTAACCATTGTATATGCTGTGCCAGGCATAAGGGACTACCCAGACTGATAATTTCTAGCCTGAAAGTTCTGGAGGATAATTTCCTAGAAAACATACTGAAATCAAAGATGAATTTACTTAATTTTTCATAGTGTTTACGCAGCTGCCCTGGACAGGATTCTGTGCTATTTTGAACATGCAAAATTGTGTCTGGAACTTGCCACTTAATGTCCTATAACAAAAGGAACTACATTGACTCACATAGACCATATCCACATGTTTAAGGCTACAATCTGTTTTGACTACGTATTATGTAAATTAAGTGGTAATCATTAGTTTGTATTGAGAAACAGGAATGGAAAGGATAAGGTGTGCTTCAGCAAGAACATACAACTGTGACAGTATTCAAAGGCAGGAAAAAGCTGAATGGTGCAAGTTAGTGAACAAAGGAATTAGAGATTGAGAAATTGATAGTAATATAAAGGTTGTGTGTAGCTGAAGAAAGTGTAGCAGACTAACAAATGATGCTACAGCATATAATTGTCAAAAGAAAAATGCCCTTTACTTTCCCCAGTACTGTACTTCCATGGGTGACTGAACCAAACCAGTCAACTGTGTACACCCAACATAGAAAATATCTGTACTGATAGATTCAATGTATTTCAAATTGAACATGGTAAGCATAGTATGAGAGATGATTTTCTAATACTATAATTATGATAGCTCCACCTTTTGTCTCCAATTGCATCTGAAATAAACAATAAATAAATTGCAGTATAGCAGTTTGGAAACAGTATACTGTACATACTTTACATTGCATACATACAGTACTTTGGTTTATGCACGTTGAGAAATACAGCATCCACATCAGAGGATGAGTTGCCATTTAGGATTATAACAAGTCACAGGAAGCAAAGAATAAAATTATGACTTACATATTTTATATATACATTACAGGTATACATTTGTATTTATACAGTATCTGTATTTAATTTAATTATTGCATCCCTGATATCCTGAAACAATACATGCCATTTTACTCATCCTTTGTGTTAGATACATACAATACATGTGATAGCTCTAAAGTTTGCAAACTTCACTTTTGAGAATTGAGAAAACTTGCTCTCGTCCATTTACAGTACTTCAAAAGGTAATTTTTTGCTGAATCTCAGTTATAGAGTTTGTTATTGAAAACAATTTAGCTGTACATATGGAAAACTCAGTCAAAATCTTAAATTCCTGGCTGATGTTGGGTTGGGATGGTTCAGTGGCCTCATGTACAGCACCTGTATGAGTATGTTGAGATTTTGGAGGAAGTTCTGCATCTGTTACCGAGGGCATTGCTCTTCCCTGAGCCAGAATCCTTTTACCTCCTCCAGGATAACAGCCTCATCCACACTTCTCAGGCTTTAAAAGTGTGGTTTATGCATCACCCCCTAACACCTTTGCCACATACTGTATAGTACACCCAAATCCCTGGACATCATCCCTATTGAGCTTGTCTGGGCAGCCATGACGCAAAAATTATGTACCTGGATCACTGTCGTAGCCATGCTAGTGCCATTGATAGTGCATTAGAGGCATGGGAACAGCTACGAAGCCCCACTGGACAATACCTTATAGCTAAGTTGGTGGCATCCATGCCTTGAAGGCTTAATAGCATCATAGAGGCTGGTGGCGCTGACACCAGTTATTAATATAATAACAGTTATCTCTCAATATAGTTTTCCTTTTCAAGAATGAAATTACCATATACAGCATCCAATTATTGAGTTATTCAGAAATTATAAGATAGACTTCATTGAAATTAACTATTTCATGCTTTCAAGGCAATGAAAATAAGTCCTGCATGAATTATGGCAACTATGTTTGCACATCTTTGTTGTCTGCTCCCTGAAATATGAATTTAAGGACATTTATTTCATTTCATGTCACTATAATCACCCTGAAACATCTGCCTTTTGGTCAGTAATATTCTATCACTTTATTTTATAACTCTTGACTGCTTGTGATGTCCCACCTAGAACTCATCTTATTCATGACCACTGTGTTGTAATCCTCTTTTATGAATCTCTATGGCCGATATTACACCTTCATCATCTAGTGATTGTCTTACAAAGAACCTGCTTCAGCTCAGAATGTATGACATATTTCAACATTTTCTGTCAGACATTTCTTAACTAGTTTCAGGTATTGCCATTTTAGATCATAATGGATACAGTATAGTGCAGGTGCTCTCTACTTTCAAACATTCGACTTAAAAACTTTCAGAGATACGAACAAACCTATTTATATGTACTGCCCATGGATCATTTACGGTGAATGATTACTACCCAGTACATGCTCACGGTAGGCTATCCTTATCATTAACTCTTTTATCCTGGGCTTGCCTATCATACTCCTAGATCTTTCTTTATGTTGCTACATGAAAAGCAGAACCTCATTCATTATACTGTATAAGTATATAACACTTTAAATCTACAAATGAAGATTTATAGATAATTTATTTATTTATTTTTTTGTGTGTTTGCATCTGTTAACATCGCTGGTGGCATTGTTGCTAAGTTAGACATGTCACTACAACTGCCTCCCCCTAGCCTTCTCGCTACCCGAGCTGTGAGCTATGTTAGGGTTGTTTTTCAACTCATAATTTCAGGCAGATATACAGTATGTAACTTTCTTCAATTTTTTTCTCTGTTATATGTACACATTATTCTTCATACATAATGTGCAAAAAAAAAGGTTAAAGAAATAACTATCTTAAGATAAAAAACAAAGGGAATAAAAATTTCTTTGTGTGCGAGAGCAGGCTGAGCAGGGGAGTGGAGTGTGAGAGTTCCGTTGCTAGAGGCCGCGTCCCAGCTGGGCTATGTTGCTATGACAAGCTTTAAGGCCATGCAGCTAGTGTCTATGCAAATGGCAATTGTGTTAAACTTTCGTTTAGCTTTTCCTTAATTGTTTTAGCTGTTTTTGGTTTTTTTCTAGATACACGTAGTATACAAATGTTGTTTGAAGTAGCACAATTGTTAAATGGTATAAGAAAGGTAGGCAGTATGGCTTATGAATGCTGGGAAAGGGGGTACAAGTAGTTGTGAGCTTACTGAGTAGGCCATTTCTTTCTATCTGTGATAATATTCCTTACCTTTTCTTTTTTTTTTACGTGTTCGGTATCTACGATAGTAAAGTTGGACTTAGGAACAAGCCTCAGGAACGTAATTTGTTCGTAAGTAGAGGAGTACCTGTACTGCATTGTGTTACCCTGCGTTCTGTGGTGTACTAT